AACTTTATTATTGTTTATTTAATTCTAACAAATAAGTTATTGTTAAAAACAAACCAAAATTAAAAAATAATTATATATCGGTATTGGCATCGGCTATCGGACAAAATGAGTTGAAAATTATCAACATATCGGATATCGGCAAAAATCCAATATCATGCATCCCTAGTTGCAAGTTAAAAATTCTATTTTATTGACTTAATGAAACCTTTTTGGTTACATTAGCTTAATATTGTGTGGTAGGGCTGCACGATTAATCGAATGCGATTGTCATGCGCATTTTGATAGTAATGCCGATGACAATCGCAGCTTCTGTCGAATCGCGATCTCGATTCCATTTCGATTTATCGTGCAGCCCTATTGTGTGGAATGTAAACTTTAAAATTGTGCATTAAGCGATTTTAAATGAAGTTGTAGTTACTTAATCAAATTGTCTTGTTAACTTGGAAATTAGTCAAGTTCCCATATGCTTTGTGTAGGACTGGATAAGGAAAGTAAATGTTGAAATCCAGTGTTTTTTTAGTGAAGGGAAACACCTGTTAGTGTTTAATGCTGTTATGTTTGACATTTAAAAGACTTTCTGTTATGTAGAAGTTTTTGTGGTTTGTGCTGAAGAGACTAAATGAATGTAAAGTGTTCAACAGTCCAAATTAGAGCTTAAAATTATAAGTTTGTTAGAAAAATGTATAATATTTTAGCACCAGCTTAACAAGCAATCTTAATATCTCATCTGTTGTGGATTTTAATATCTTTGAAGTGGGTCCACAAACAGTGTGGGTTATGAAATTATTCAATTCTGACGGAACTCTGGTGTAAAAGTCACATTTTACAACTTTCCTTCAAACTGCTGCCACAGGCTCCAGTGCCAACTGGTAAAATTAATGAAAGCAAATGAATGCAACTCTCACTTGGCTCCTAATAAAGAGACTTGCATATACTGCCCTATCCTGTACTTGCAGTTGCATCGCTAAACTTTATGCATTTGGCATATGGTGCAACTGGAACAAGACGGACAGAAACCCCGACAAGTCCGAGCAAAGGATGCATTTGTCAGTCCTGCCACCTGCGAGTACAATAAAGAAATATTCGTGTCTTTCAGCGCAGCTGCGCGCCTGAACAAAACGGCCCCAGATGGCTAATGGCATATCATGAAATCCGCTTTTTGATTAAAACTGATCGGCCTTTTCATAGGATTAATTGCTTATGAGCGCATGAATGTCGGGCGGTTCGCTGTCCACTAAATTAATGAACTCTCCGAGCAGAGGCGGACAGGAGCGCAGGCATCTCGCCGCTTTAATCCTGTGCACACATGCGGAATAATCCGGTCTTATCTGCTCCGACTGCGTCTGAAACCTGTTGCTCGATCAGGGTTTAGCCACTTGCGGCAATTGGTCAGTTTTGCTGATCCGTGTGTGTGTTGAGAGCCGGCTGCGGCGGATCTGAAACCGAAATAGCATCTGACATTTCTGAGAAAATAAGGCAAGCGGGGAAGCAAGCAGACTGTAAACAGACTCACGCGTACCTCCTATGCGGGCGTTGTAGGCTATGCCCACAATGCAGTGGGAGTTGTTGGCTACAGCAGCAACTTCACCTGCGCATCGTGTCCCGTGTCTGGAAAGAAAATAAATGTAAGCATAAATCACACAAAGAATTAATATGTTACTGTGTGTTTGAGCTTGAGTTTGATCAGAATTTTGAACAACGTGAGTCTTTGTTCTCTATTATCTCCTTTTTATTCTGTCCTCTTCACACTGCTAAAGGCCAAAAAAATACACTAAGACACTGCCTCTGATTCAAGCCATAGGGATTTGCCTCATTGTCTATGGCCTACATTCAAAAGTTTGGGGTCGGCAAGATTTTTTAATGATTTTGTACATTTCTTATGCTCAGGCTGCATTTATTTGATTAAAATCAATGTTGCATCAATAATAATAAAATATTATTACAATTTACAGTCAGGGTTTTTATAGTTACTACAACCATAAAAATATTTTTAAAACATTTTTAAAAACATTTACACAAGTATTTAATTTCAGCAAGTTGCCAAGGCAACAAAAATTGAACTGAAATAAAAATGTATAAAAAATATAAAAAATATAAAAAAAATTAAAAAAAAATAAAAATAAAAAAGGAAAATATTCTTTAAAAATTAACTCGAAATGTTAGATATTCTAAATATATAAGAGTATCCCAATGATACTAAAATAACATTGTTTAAAATTATTTATAATAATTAAATAAATATATTGTTATATACATAATTACCGTGAAGAAAAATTTCTCACATCATGAAATAACAAATTTGGTCATATCACCCACCCCTAGTATATTATATTTTATATATATTTCAAATATATAATTTATTTAGAAGAAGTCTCTTATGCTCATCCAGGCTGCATTTTTAAATACAATAAATATTCAATATGCAATAAATATAGTGCATTTTATTCAAAAAATACAGTAATGAATGTAAAATATTATTACAATTTAAAATAATAGTTTTATATTTGAATATATTTGTAAAATGTAATTTATTCCTGTGATGCAAAGCTGAATTTTCAGCACCATTACTCCTGTCTTCAGTGTCACATGATTGTGCAAGAAAGTAAATAGAGTAAACTTTTGATTTCATTTTGGTAACCAAAAGCAAAACACTTTTGGACTCTGAAGACATATTTTAAAACAGATATTGAGTCAATCCTACTTCCACCACTGTCAAAGTGGATACAGGAGCACAAGATCGCTGCCGGCTGCATTAGAAATGCATTAATTGCATTTTTATCTTGTGCATTGTTCACTCACTCTCGTTCGCTCGGTGCACTTCTTTACCAAAGTCTCTTTCAATAGTTTTTTTTTCTGTCCTCACTCAATTAAGTTTCTACTCCGGGAGGCACGTTCTGCACTTCAGAAATGAATTGAATGTCGCATTGTTTTCCGGTTTCAAATGTCCTGATGAGTATTAACAAAACAGCGCTTTGAAGTTTTGTCTGAACTCTTGGCAGAGTTCATTGGTAAACATGCAGCGTGAGCGGAGAACAAGCATTAAATCAGGTGCTTATCAAAGACAGAGACATTTTCAATTAAATTCACACCAGCCTCAATCCCACAGGATTGGATTGGTTTCAGTGCTTCGCCACAAAAGAAAGCCTCTTCATTCTGTTGACACACCACACGAGTCCGTCGTTACTCCTTTATTTGCATGGCTCCAAATATCGGGCCCGATACCGATATCAGTATCGGTATCGGTGCATCCCTAATTACAATACCGTGTTACTCCCTAAAAAGGTAACTAATTGTGTTACTTAGTTACTTTAATGGAAAGAAATACATTATTTTTGCATTACTTTTTCTCATCTGGCCAGGGCTTGATTGTTTGTTTTTAATATAAAAAGTTCTATTTTTGGCAAATGCGTCAAATGAAATGAGTAAAGGAGCCATTCTGGTTTGCAGAAGAATAGGATGCAGGAGAAGAAAGTTCAACACTCTTACTTCAGCAATCAAATACACTAGTTACTTGAAAAAAGTAATCTGATTGCGTAACTTGCATTACTTGTAATTAAACTCATTACCCTCAGCGCTGCTAACAACTACCAAAACACCCCAGCAACTGCCTAGCAAGATACATAGGGATGGGCGATATGAGTAATTTTATTTCACGGTAACAACAATTTGTCTCCTCCGCGTCACCCTGGTCCCATTTTGGAGAATATCCACTGAACGTGTAGATGTGTAGAAAAAGTATTCTCGTAGCTTCGTAAAATCACGGTTGAACCCCTGATGTCACATGGATTATTTTACCGATCTCCTTGCTACATTTCTGGACCTTGATCGTGGTAATTACATTGCTGTCTATGGGAGAGAGCTCTCAGAATGCATTAAAAATACAAGTGTAGTTTTGAGGACATCGGGACTCACTTGTTCTCGTTGCTGGAGTCATATCGTGGGGTCGGGTCGTAGTCATTTCCATTCACATCATAGCTCGCCAGCTGGTCCTAAATGACGCACAAAACACATCGAATAAATCATCTGAGAAATTTAGAGTGAAATTAACATTTTGTTTTCTACTCTAGAGATTTACAGTGCTAAAATATATAACAAACAATAATTTTATCAATCATACTGTGTTGAGCAGTGCTAATATTGTTAACTAAAACTGAAACTATTAAAAACATTTACATGAACTCAAAAAAATTAAAAGCTTTCAGTTATACTGTCAGTAAATATTAGACTGAACAAAAATTGGTGTAAAAACTGCTAGTAAATTTCACCAATTACAAAAAATGGCAAGTAACACTGAATTAAATGTGAAAATTTTAAGTAAAAATATTGAATAATTGGTAAAAAATTGTTGTAAAAAAAAAAATAAAATCAGCAAGTAATGCACTGAATTAAATTAACTGAATTGAAACTTTGAAGTAAAAATAGTGAAATAGTACTTTCTTGTAAAAACCTCTATAAATAATAATAAAATAATCCGTCTTATTTACAACTTTAAAAAATCTTTTTTACAGCGTAGTTGCCAAGGAAATATTTCAAATTTTTGTTAAGTTTAAGTTAAAGCTGAAACGGAAAATAACAAAACTAAAACTGAAATAAAAAATAAAAAACTATGGTCATTAAATTAAATGTAAAATAAAGCATAAAATATGAATAAATAAAACTATCATACTATATTTATGATATTAAAATATCACTTAAGTCAAGACACCCCACGATAAAACTAAAAATGTATAATAAATAAAAAATTTACTAATAATCAGTTAATAATAAATAAATGAACTTAATCACAATCTTCCACAGCTGATTGATTTCATCAAGAATTGCAAACATTTTTTATTACAAGTTTTTTTAAATGTTATGTTTAAATATACAAATGAGGTATTATCTGTTTAAATATGTATTTGCATACATCTCCAGAACAGAAATCTGAACATTGGATAAAGCCAATGGATAAAGATTTAAAATTCTTGTTTTGTTAACATTTTTCGACTTTAAAGATATCTATATAACTGAAATCTACAGACAAAAAAATGATAAAGTATAATAAAATAAACTTAAAAGTGTATTTTGGGTGTTACTAGTCTGAAAGAAGACAAGTTATGAAAAGCCCAAAATCTCAACAATTGACCAGTTCAAGAAAAAACTATATTTCTGCCTATAGTGTCTTGCCTTAATAAAATGCATTTACAGCAATAATCAATGATCTGCAACAGGAGATCAAGATAATCTCACATAATTCTGCGCCAGATCCGGATGGTTCCTCTCAATACCGTCGTCCAAGATGGTGACGACCACATTTCGACCAGTGTAGCCTCTCTGCCAGGCCGCAAGGATATTCATTTCTGAACGGCAGCGGCTGTTTTTATCACTACAGTGCTGGAAAACAGTGAAAAGTCATCAACATCAACGTGAATATGCCTTCACTTGCAATCAGTTTCAGACACACACATTGACTTTGAAAACAGGAAACATTGGAAGACAATTAGGCCGAAGCGATATTCTCAGCTCTCCAGAAACACAAGCCTTTATTACTTGAGTAACCTTATGACTCAATCCCTCTGTGAGGAAATATGTCACAACAAACGGCCGCGTGAACCTGTAAATTAAACGGGACGATTCATGTTTATTCAGCAGCAGAGGTTTGCATGTCCTTGAGGGTCTCTTTAAAGATTCTTTTCAATGCCGTCTTTGAGGACACGATCAACAAAGACGTCCCAGTGTGAAGTCAACTTCAGAGGACGGATTGAAAACAGTATCAGATTCCTTTGTGCTGGAATATTAATAATACGAGTGCAAATAAACACAGAATGTGCTTTAATAATGTCTGAAAACATCAGCTCTAATGGATTAACCATTAATCGTCTAGTGTTTGATACTGATATATGGAGAACAAAAGGGTTTGCATAAAATTGACAAGGTCTACAGTTCTTCGAAGACACTTTGGAGCGGAAAAAATTAACAAAGAGCAACACATTTTTTCAGGAATTTTTTTTCAAGACGACTCTTCAATCAGTAATCAATGTGAAGCTTGATGAAATAGGAGCAAAAGTAAAGCGCAAACATAAACAATCATTATAGAGTGAAGAAGGACAATTCATGAAGCTACTTTTGCCTGTAAGAGTGTGTGTGTGTGTGTGTGTGTGTGTTTGTCCTTTTAGGGCTTGACTTGGAAAGCTCAGATTCAAAGAGAAAAGATTTATATTCAGTAAACAGACTGTTCGGCCTCTGCTTTCTTATTGTATGAATCATTTAACCCCCATCTTGCTTCCTGGATCATCATAGAGCAGATGCAATCTCCAATATGACATAAACCAATCATTGAATCTGAGTTTGAGTCGATTCACTGAATCAGAACTGATTCACAGATTTTCTTCTCATTTTTTTACCTGTTTGCTCTCAAACCAGACTCACAAAGAGTAAACAGCACAGAATGAAGACAAGCAACAGAAAAAGGAAGAATTCAGAGGGCTGTGTTTCAATTCTTACTTGACATTATTCTGATGTAAACTCTTCTACACTAGTCCATATTTACAGACTAGTTGTTTTCATATTCACACTCTTGCAAGCTATTCTAAATCAAACCTTTTTATAGTATTTTTATATTTATAGTATTTTCCAATTGTAGTGTTTTTCAAATTGTAGAGCAAAAACATATATATTTAATATATCACACAGTGAGATGGATTTTAAAGCTTTAGCGTTCCAGGAGGTGCATTTATCAAAAAATCACTAATTCTTCAACCTTTTCTGAAAACTGTAGAAGCCGAAAAAATATATTTTTATACCACAAAGAAAACCTATCCAAAAGAGATGCATGTATACAAACTGAATTTTCTTCAAAATAATGCAACATAATAATGCAATCACATTCGTCCACAATAGCACAAAAAGAGTGCAGTGGATCATATGGAAGTCAGATTCTGCCACTAAATAAAAACCAATAGAAAATACTTTTTATCTCGCACATATAAAGAGTTTATATCTTGCAGTTCTTACTTTCTGTCTCAGAATTCTGTTTATATCTCATAATTCTGAGTTTATATCTCATAATTCTACTAAATAAAAACCAATAGAAAATACTTTTTATCTCGCACATATAAAGAGTTTATATCTTGCAGTTCTTACTTTCTGTCTCAGAATTCTGTTTATATCTCATAATTCTGAGTTGATATCTCATAATTCTAGGTTTATATCTGATAATTCTGAGTTTATATCTCATAATTCTAAGTTTATATCTCATCATTCTGAGTTTACATCTCACAATTCTGACTTCTTGTCTCAGAATTCTGTTTATATCTCATAATTCTAAGTTTATATCTCATCATTCTGAGTTTATATCTCGCAATTCTAACTTGTCTCAGAATTCTGTTTATATCTCACAATTCTGAGTTTATATCTCATAATTCTAAGTTTATATCCCATAATTCTGAGTTTAAATCTCATAATTCTAAGTTTATATCTCATAATTCTGAGTTTATATCTCACAATTCTGACTTCTTATCTCAGAATTCTGTTTATATCCAGGACACTATAGTTCATTTATGTAAGTGAGGATAGCAAAATAAAAAAAAAAGTAAACTGTGACATATTATACTCAAAAACTCTTCCTACAGTGGACTACCAGTAAAAATTGGAAGAAAAAAATTGGGACCAAAAATTGTTCAGACACTTTGACCTGATCATGTTTTGCTTAAGTGTTTTTTCTTTTTTTCTTTTTGGTTGATTGTAATCCATTACATACCTTCCTATCAAAGTTATCTGACATCATCAAGATTCATTTGTTCTGACACAGTTTAACTACTGAGTTCTTGTCATATTTTATTAACATTTTCTAAACTATAGCAAATCAACTGTGATAATGTGAGAAATGCTGAAGGTGTCTGAATAAAATTTGGTTTGACTGTATTTTTTTTTACAATAGCAAGTTTATATCTCACAATTCTGCGTTTAAATCTCACAATTCAGACTTTTTTCATTCTGAAAAGAGAGAAAAAGTTGCAATTACATTTTTATCCCATGGTGGAAACAAGCTTCAATATCAGGAAACGTGTTCTTTAAATAAAGATTGAAAGTGTTATCAGAAGCTGCTGTCTGGTGATGCAAAAGTCAAGCAATCGTGAAGTAGTTTATTTATAACCTAACTTTAGCTTTTTAGTTCTGACGGTTGTATTTATGCTTCAAAATTCATAAAAGTTCATATATGAAGATGTTCTTGACGAACAAAACTTTAAAGAATCATAAACTGTGTTTACGTCACTTCCTGTTTGTTGCTGCCGTGTGTTTTGAGTTTGAGCTCCGTCAAGTTAATTCTTTGTCGTCTAATTTTT